TTTCCACCAGGAAATTTGAGTGGATTTTAGATAATCTTTGTTATTGCAAGATTTATATATTTACGCAGCGTCATTTGTTTCATATCCCAATTATTTGCGGTATTTTGCTCAAACCTGTTTTGACATTTGATGTCTTATGAACCCCTTTGGACAAAATGATAGGGTTCCCGGAGTTTCTTCTCTAGGGAAACAGTGAAAATTTTTACAAACATTTGCGTTTTCAGGGGAAACTAGAAACTATCGGTATGGTAAGAATGTACCGTCCGCGTGTTCAACAACTTCCGGAGGAGTATTCTTTCCTCGATTGTTGAGGAAATCCGACGGAGCCCACACTTAGCCACTCGGGTAACAAAGATCTATTTGCTTCACTGCTCACTTATGTTGACTGTAGTGACAAATAGCAATCGATGTGAAAATTATTAATCCCGTCGACTAAGTTACGACCAAGAGATGTAGAGCACATTAGATTTCAAAACATTTGGAAACTACATCTGAACCCCTTTCTACAGCTATTTTCTGATATCGAAATCGAGCAAAACGTTTCAAGAACAAGTTTCAATGAATGTGTCTTTTGAAATCCAAAACGTGCGTTGAACAGCTTTTGGCATCTAATTTGATCAAAATGTGTGACAAAGTTTATAGTTAATGCAGAAACTCATGGACAGAATACAAAATAAGGATTTTTTCACTTATTTTGTTTGCTAAAATCTGCTACCTCACTTACTGGTTATATACACAGATGCGTCTTTCTTACATGTACTAACTTGGCTTTGATAGTCTTACCGGGTGTTCGATAATTCTTCGCAATCCATTCATCATTGAATTAATACCACACAAAGGTGTGCGTGAGTTGTCAGCTGCTCAGATTAGAAACGACAGAGGGAGAGATCTGAAGTGAGCAGGTTTTTACCCCCGAGGTCAGAATGTGACAAAATTGAATTGGCCGACATCAACAATCTGTAGAACACTGATTGGTCCCGTGCATCACCTATATCCTCTCCGGCTAGGATACACGTCGGATATGTCACAACGTTTATCTTTGTAATTTACTACTCATAAGGTTACTGAAAATCCGTCGACAGCCCACGATCGGTTTCGCCCTTCTTGGGGCTCATCAGGTAGGCGCATTCCCGGGGTTTCCGTCATGTTTTCCTTATTTTTCCCTGTGTTCTACTTGAAACCAAAATACATTAAATTAGCGAATATACACTCATTTGTAAACTAATTTGGTTTTCCGTGGGACTCAACTGCAACCCCAAAAAAGGCGAAACCGGTCGTGAACTGTCAACGGATTTTCAGCAACCTGTACCGTGATATCTCGAATATCGTAGCAACCGAAACATGAGGCTGTCTGCTGTAGCACATTCAGTTGCCTTAAAGCATCACAAATGAGAGATTCAGCTGGGTTCCAGGTGCGTCTTTCAAAAAACCAAATTAGTTTGCAGGTGAGTGTATATTCGTTAATTTTACAACGTTCTTACCATATATTGAACGATATAGTGCTGTGCCGTACGATTTCTCGGTCAATCTGGGCCTTGAATATTAACGCCATGTTGTCCATTCCTTGAAACTAGCTCAGTGTGGTAAAGCAACACAAAAGAATTTCTTGTGATCTTTCTGTTTCTGCTAAGATACCCTGTGTGTAAGGTTATTAAAGATGTCAAAGCACTGAGGAAAGTTGTAGATTATGAGGTACAATGACATGTCTTGTGGCTTTCCGAGGTCACCTGATATCAATAAAGTTCGACCATCCGAAATACTAAGACTAACTTAAAAATGAGCAAGTTTATTATATATAATGCGATGTGTTTCTCTTGAAATGCGTCTTCAGACCTCCACTAAAGAAGAGATAGTGAAAATCTCTAAACTCTTTGCTTTTAGGGAGTTTATTTTGTAATTTTTCGCTTAGCAAAATTAAGAGTTTGGAATAAAACTTTCCGTGTGTCTGGCAGCTACTTTACAGTTAGTACAACTGATGATCCAAACTCAGCGAGTCAGTATAACTTGGCCGACAAGAGATTATCGTTTTAGCGAACATTCATGCATCGCAAAGTCACCATTTTCTAATGAGGCAATATGCATGAATTTAGATTCCGACAGATATCCAGTGAAGTATCTACCACAGCAGTAGTTGTCGAGTTTAATTTTGGAGGAATAAACCATGAAAAAGAATGTTCTGACAACTATCGCTTGATGAGCAATACACCGATTTTAATGCCATTGACCTAAAAAGGTAAAACTTTGTTGCCAGTATTCAAAAATACACACAAAAATATGCCTTTTTCGCTCATATTTTTGAGGGAGAGTCGACCGCTTCAGTAAGATCGTAGATCTTTAGGATTCCGAAATCACCCAGTAAAACCATTCACAGCCCGGAAATAAAAAATAAGCATTGCAATTTACTTAGTAGTGGCTTGCAGGAATTTGTTGCATACATTGTAGTTTTGTGGACAGAGAAAACTTTGCACGTTTTGATGAAAAAAAACCTAGTCACTTCAAGGACAAACTTACAAACGTAATGCGTGTGGGAAGAGTATGGGCTCTCATATATCTGCCGACTTGAGGGAGGCGACACTGAATTACTGAGGCGGAGTTCTTTCGAAAGTGTGGCTGTATGGCTGAACGTCCCAGCCACACAAAGTCAAAAGGAAAGTGTCCGGTACTATGAAAGATTTGAGAGGCTAGTATGTGGCTTTAGAATGCCGCTTAATACCCAAACTGATGGGCTCAATCCTCTCAGTATCTGGACAGCCTAGCAGCGCCAAGACAGATGTAGCTCTCAGGACAGGATTTGGTTAAATAGGGTTTCAAATATCCTGATTGGCTATTGCTTTTAAAACAATTGTATAAGTTATATCGTACTTGGTATTTCTTAAAAAATCACGAGTTTTGAGGAAAACCGACTTACACCGAGCATTAAACTGCTGTGATAACCCACACTATGTCAGAAAGATGCATCAAAACGTGTTTCTAAACTGAGTTGGAAATAAATATACCAGCAAAGGTTCCACGAGTTATGTAACATACAGTGATTTTTCGCGGAAGATCAGGGTCACTGCTTTTTAATTATTTTCCACACAACTGTATCTTCAGCGTGAGGTTCATTTATTTCTTCCGTTTTCTGTTTTCTTTTTGCGGAATTTTGATTGCGGTTCATCAACTTTGGAACATAGAGTGTGATAGGTTATCAACAAACTAAAGTCACGCAAGTAGGATGAATTATATACAAACACCATCAAAACAGATAAGCCATTTTTGTGTTCTTTTTTTCAGATAGTTTTGCACTTCATTGTCCCCCACCTTTCAGAGAAGAGGCCCGAGGGAAACGCTAAATTTCCCCCTGGTGCGAAAAAATGTGAGTATTTGTGACCAAACAATGTACTCATGCCATGCCATCATATGTGACCTTATCGAGCCTGGTTTATTCTTCCGGTCAGTAAAATGAATCCGACCAATTTAGCGCACGCTGGACCGATATGCTTGTTTTCGCGACGGATCAGATCCAATTTGCTGTTAGATTTCGGTCCCATAATTGTCAGACTCGATCTTTCAGTGTAGCTATCTAGAGTATATGAAGTCGAATAACGAGCAAATTATCCGCTGGTTATATCGCCAAAATGCGCGAATGGCACCCAACTGCTGTTTTCAGTTTACATTCTATCATTCGTATGCTTAGTATGAGTTAGTGTTAGGCGCTCAAGTAACACTACAGTCAGCTGAACGATGTTTGCTTTCATTTGCACGGAAATTAATGATCATGCTTGACTGTAACTGCATTAGGGGGCTACGCACTTTAGATTTTCAGCTTTTGCTCGTAAAGAGTGTTGTGTGAAACGTTTAAGGCGACAGAAAATTTATATTTCTTAAGAGATAATCTTCGGGAAGAACGCATTTCTGCTAATGGTGCAGTAAGACTATTACATGGAAAAAGCGTCTTGTGTAAGCAGTAAATTTTGTGCATAAGCTGTGACGATTTTAATTCTGATAGCCTTAGGCATAAAAACGAGTGTTCATGTTTCACACCAGGAATTTCCATTTTACATGATGAAATTTTTCGTTCCATGTCTATTTGATACCACTGAATGCAAATAGACGATACAACTTCAAACACTTAGTATTATAGAACATGGCCGCTGTTTTTAGGACTGACAAATACTCAGTACTGACGGACATACAATATTGTTTACAAAACTGGGCACAACGATGAATATTTATTTAACCGTTCGTTATTTGCCAAGAATAAAACCTGGTCTCTCTCCAAATTTCAAGGTATTCTAGAGTCTTGAAGCAATTTTCATGAGCTCATGCGTACCTACCCACAGGAAGACGTCTTTAAACCAAAAACTCAGCCACAGTGGATTCCAACAGAGTTCCCGGGTTATTAAGCTTTTTAATTTGTTTGTTCTAGATGGTATTTTGTTCCACACTTTGCTAAGACCACACATTTAGTTTGTGAAATTTATGTCCGTTTTATATCACACCAATACCGACGAACATGTTGGCTTCTGACTAGTTAACGTTAAAATCTATCCCATGACATGAAATCTTGTTAAAAACTAGACATTTTAACCTATAACCCACTGAACTGAGATGAGCAGAAAGTAACAAGATAGAACAGACAACCAATTTGAAGTTACAACGATGAATTGAAGTTGAACTTTTGGAATAAACACACGTACCGTAGACAAGTAATCTTTGATAATTTAAAAATTCGTCCTCGGGATACTTATATTTTCCTCACGAATAAAAATGGTGGACAACGAGGCGGTTCGCTTACTAGATTCACAGTCAAAGTCAACACTGTGAGTTATTTCTTCATACGACATGATCCCTCAAGTATACGTAGTAAATTATTGTTGATTGTGTCCCCTGTTCATATAATGGGGTTACACCAAATGGGACGAGTACTTGACATTCGTTAGACATTGTTTTGTAATTCACCATAAACAGACAAACTAGCGATCGCTAGCTGAAAAGACAAAATTATGTTGAAAAAATTCAGGTCTCGGTATTCAAAGGATCACTGTCACCGTAAAGGGATTCCATGTACAATGTCATGAAGGAAGAGAGTGCGAACAAAGCCACTGACGTTCGATGTGACAGACATGCTTCAGGACCTGCAGATAGAGCCTGCTCTGAACGCTTGCGCCGGTAGTGGCCGTAACGATTAGGATCAAAATTTTCCGGCGCGATTACTTCTTTGTTGAATATGTGGAAGCAGCCATTTGAAGCTTGCCAAGAAAGGATCTGCTCAAGGTATTTCGGTTGGCAAACGGAGAGAAACCCCGCGTATCCACAGATTCCAACTTTCCAAAAAAATAAAGGGAAGCTGTATAGTTTACATGTAAGCAATCAAAACAGATAAACCTTATAACTAAATGCAAACCATATAAGTCCGTCTTATAATTTTGAAAACGCGTAATTAATTGCTCCGCAGATCCTTTAGAGTCGTCCGTTGATCAAAACATAGGATGAATACATGATTGATAAAGCACATCAGACGTACAATGCATGCTAAATTTATATAAAAATCCTACCTCTGGGGATTGCAAGGATCGCATACCAGAAGTACTAGGCACAATTGATGTATGCCATGTTCGTAAAAGGATGGGATGTGTAAGTTATGTTGCTTGGTAGAGAGCCAAGAACAAAATAGGTTAGGGATAACGATAACCGGTGTGGGTTCAAAATGAATGTGCTCACTATGTCCAAACTTTCTACCTTTGAATGAATGGCCGGGAATTTAACGTGTGTATCGATATTTACGATAGGCTTTTTGGTAGAGTCTAGCATAATTCTGTTTGGCCGGGTAAGTCCTGGACAAATTCCATGTAAATCCAACCTTTTTTATATATGAATATAAAGTAAACATATTTAACAAACTGTTTTAATCCGGAAGCCCTTGACCTCTTTGAGAGGCTATTTTTCTCAGTACAATAATTTTTATGCCAGAAGCATCAACGTAATACAGAGTCGACTACAGCCTCAAATTGGGTGAACTAAATAATTACTTTCGTAATCGAGGACGTTTATTCAGCTTGAACCAATCAGAATACTTCTTCCAATACATTCATCTCCATTTGGGCTTGTTACAGAAGATCTTACGCAAATCAAATCTGCACATTCCAGTCTTCACTGAGTTTATGCGTCTTGTACCGACAAGGCTTTTGAGCACGTATTATTTAGTTGTGTTTGAATTGGTCATCTGAGAAAGCTAATCAGCGCAGTCCTACAGGTGTCGTCAAACAAGCCAAACAAACTGCTATTAGTGTTCCTATGAACTGCAAAGAATGAGGCTTGTACCTCAAACACAAAGCCGTCCCTCGCTCGACAGCAAGAGGTATATGTGACGTAGTTCCATCACAGCCTTCAAAAACTAAACTGAAAAAAAATAGCTGAAACGTTATCAAACAAATAGTTACGGTGTTATGATCAAACCAGAAAGCAAATAGCAAGTGAACCTAAACGAGTTTGCCAAATCATTCGGAACAGATATCTGGGGGCGTCTTCAAGTCGTTTTTCATTATTGCGAATCGTTTCCATACTCACTGTTTTCATGAATATTCTCCTAGTACCTCTACCAGTCCAATCATTATATTTCCCATAAAGAATGGGAGAGGAAGCAATAACAACTAATTCATGAACATCAGAGGCCGTAACGGTGGCGGGACTACATTTCTTTCTTTCAGTTGTATGAAAATAATAGGACATCTGGGCTATCGTTTTATGGGAGCAAACGGTGTAATAACAAAATATTTCACTGATGCGATTAATGTTTGTGTTCTTGACTGAACAATGTTACAAAACCCATGCGTGACTCACGGGACTATTACAGTTCGGTAAAAGTGTCCAGCCAAGAGGCGGAATGCTCTGGCGGTAGACAGGTACAATATTCTCAACTTTAAGAGACCAGTCCACACACTCGTTCTGTTCTCCATATAATTAAAGTGTGTTTATCAAACAGCTATGCCCAATTTACTGTCTGCCCCTCAACTGAAATTTCCATATTTTGAGATTGAACTTCTCAACCAGGGTAAGATCAACACCATTGTGGGCATGTGCGGCAACGACAGCTCGACAAGGTGCCATATATTCTGAAATGACCGTATTGAACTATCAGGGCATCTCTGTGTAAAGTGTGTATGCCCGAAATTTCCACCAAAAAATGTGACACATGACCTGTTCACGCGGTCGAAGATACGATGACCTCAAATGACAATCGCATCATGCTCTAACTGACCGAGCGCAATGCCAGGCAAGCAAACTGGCCAACGAACCTGCGTTTTAAGTGGTGTCGCTATCAACGGTTTCGTGTACCATTAGGTTCCACCACCTTGCACAGTAAGAAATTAACAACAATTGACGTTTTATTTTGTAATCTAATGGGTTAGAACCAAAAGGATTGGTGGTATATAGAGCGATGAGCTAACAGGCTGGTGGTAGGCGGATTATCAGACAGCCCATCGAATCGACTATCCGCGAAAATACGGAGGCGAGTTTCGAGGAGCTTTTACATTCTGGGAGCGATATGCATTAGGTAAACAAACTAAATTTCTGAAAATTATCCTTGAAATGGCATCGGCGCTCGGATTTTCCGGAGATTGGCTATTGAATTTACTTAAGGACTCCAAAAGCATTCAGCCACTCAAATTAGAGGATGTTAGCAACAGCATGTTGTAGCACTTCAAAAGACCACAAGGAATGGCTGTAGCAGCAGATCAGAGGGCTTGGAACAAACAAGCGGTTTGCGGAGAGAAAAAGGAGGGATACGGCTACCTATGGCTGTCAGATGAACAGACAAAATAATCGCATTCAAAGCGCAGTCGGCAAGGACGTACTGTATAGGGCAACAGCTCTAACTGAACGCCATACTCCGCTCTGTCACATCTACGACTGAAATACCTATTACGGGACAAGCAATACAGTGTACCTTCTTCTAATGGTCAGTATAAATCACTTTTCAGTTATTTCGTTAATTTTAACCCTTCGACATAGTAATGTTTTCAGAATGGTGACAGATTTCTTTATATCAGTCTACAATAAAAGTTTCTACAATTAACTTCACAGTATCGCCCCCTGACTTTTTACCAGCGGAACTCTACTTAGATAGGACTGAAAAACGTAGCTGCTAGCCTAACATCATTTTATACGTTTGCTCTTTACCTGATGCCTGGAGTAACTCAACGAATATTATACAATGATGCGCATTGTCCACTCTTTATATCTGACCAGATTAAGGAGCTCAGAAGTGTAGATTCTTTACAACTTCCCGAAACATTCAATTCACTATGCCATCTTGAAAGTTATTCATCATCTACCATCAAACGTCTTGCTAAGGTAAGACAACTTGTAACTCCTGCATGATGCGCCGAATTGTGTGCCAATCCGTTTACCTTGTTCCATGAATAAATCGCGAAGTTCTGAAGGGTAATTCATTGATTCGATGTATTTGATTTCCTTTGCAACCCGACTACATAATCGCTCCAGCCTATCATTCAGTGTTATCTGGCCATCCAATCGGGCAACATATGCGTCCATCATGCCGGCACAATCGTTCTACAAACGGGGATAAAATGTAATAATGTTAGATGTTACCAAGAAAGCCAGTTTCTTTCTACTTCATCTGCATTTTTCCATTTTTACCTCTCCTGGTCCATACTATTAAGGCTGTCTAAATTGTGCTCATTAAACAAACGGAAGAGTCAATGCATTAGAGAATGATGAGGCATCAGTGACTGTAATCAGGTTTGGTTGCTAGCTGGCCTATGACTGCTACAGATTTGCGCAAATATGCACTCATAAAAGCTACTTGGTGGATACTAAACTATTTCTTAACAGAGACGTCGATGGTTCTGTAATGAACAGGGTTTGATCATATTCGAGCCATCAGTGAGGAAACACATGATACAACGTGAGGGTTCCTGTGATCAAAGATCTCTACAGAATTATCATCAGTGCAACACCCCACAACCTTTATTAGTTCATTCGAACCAAATAGCGCCAGAACATTGGTTCACACCCATTAGGCACGCTGAAATTAATTGGGTCTTCCCGCCATTTAGTTTGTTGGTTTCAGAACCGTTATCCTAATTAAGACAACAAACAGGCGCTGAGAATATGAAAAGCCCTCCAGCAAAGTAAAACTTTGTTTGTGTGAAGTAGTTCCCAACCATCTACAGCTCACCAAAACCATTCAGAAGGCAACTCCATGAGGCTACCCCTACAAATAACAACACAAGTACTCTTTGGGGAGATAGTGACAAAACGAAACAATGCTGTCTCAGTTATTCTTTAGACTAAGAAGCCTGAGATCAAAGATATTATTTTTAGTTGTGGCGTTCCTCACAATCGCCGGCTTGTACAAACATATCAGTAACACAAATCGTCTGTTTGGGTAACACACTTGTGTGATACTTAATCAGTAACGATGTTACAAAACATCATTTTAGATTATGATTCTATGTAGTACCTGACTCAACTAGTAATAAAGTACACGAGTGAGGAGAATGCTTCTGCTGGGGCTAGATAACGTGTACCACCATAGCCGAATCTTAACATCGCTTCTGGTAACACACTGCGACATATTGTGCGTATATATTATTAGTCATAGTCGCCCAGTTCCCTGCCTAGAATAACAAACAAACGGCACCTCAGAAAACAAGAAAATATTCATTTCGGTTGACTTGTTGTAGCCTCAATTCGTAGAAGAATACTGAAGTAAATGCACTGTCCATTTCAAGCCAAATAAAAGGCATTCGGAGGCGATACACTGCCATGATCTGAACCCGGTATGCACCCGCTAATAAATTAACGAAGGGCACAAAAACAAGTCAACTTATTCCAAAATTTATCGACAAACTGAAATCTTAGCATAAGCCATGAACTTATACCTTGTGAAGCACAAAATTTCTTGTGGAACTTATTCCAAAAATACAGTTTCGTCTTTGTTTTTCTGCTCAGTATGCTTGCAAAAGATCTAAGTATGTATGACTCAACTGCAGCGTGACAGAATTAACGGCTTTCAAATACAATATAATCCGGATTCTACCAACCACGCATCTCAATCTCAAACATATATCAGTCGAAGGACTGAAGTACCACAGAGGCAGGAAGGTAGCACTTGAATCCTACACTTATTTGCATACCACTCGGTGTTGACTAAAGATTCATATGAAACCCAGCTGGATCTCTTGTTTGTGACATTAGCAGTCATAAAAAGCGAGTCACGTGCATTCCAGGTTTATGTTCCGTCAAAACCAATTCGGAATGCAGATGAGTATATAAGCCAACTTTCGTACAACCTTGTTTGAGTAGAAAATAAGGTTGACAGAAAATCAGGAAATGGGCAAACCTGATGAACACCAAGAAGGGTGAAACCGGTCATATGCAGTCAGTGTTTTCGGAACCTTAAGAAATTAGCACTTATTTTGAAGATGATTGAGAACAGCATATCGGGACCACATACGTCGTTGAACACTACTCTCATGTATATTTCATCATACAGGATTATTGTTGAATGCATGGGCAAATCGCAAAAAATGCAGAAAGGGTTACTAAAGTCGGCAGAATGGAGAAACATTTGTTGAGCTTCTTGACATCAGCGCTTCCGTGTGTTCTGCTACTGCAGCTTGGCTCCAGTACATTGCAAATTTTCAGGCGAAAATGTGCTTCTTAAAGGCATTTCTGTCCGCACACATCCCGAAAACTACATCTCAAGTTTGGTAGGTTTTGACAAACTATGGACACCAACTCAGGGTCCAAAATTTTTAACTTGGTCTTTTACAACGGTCGTTCAGAGTTGGGAGAAGAAAATTCGACAACATATTACGTCCCTTCACTCAAAGCCATTGAACTACTGGGTTCATGTAACTAAAAAAGCGGATCTAGGTCTTATCAAGGAAGGTGGCCCGATATAAAGAATCAGGCAATTTGTGGATTTAATTCTTGAGTCATACAGGATGTGTGGGGATAAACAAGAAGTTTGTCGCACACAGATGGCAACATCCCAGCTGTATTGGGATCAGTAACCAGAAACTTCTGATCCCGAATACAAATAGCTTCTTAGAGATTAAAAAAATTAAACGCTCTGTCGTTTGTGCCGAATAATAGCTGAATTCAGTTTATTCAAAGTTATCGACTCGGTTGACCTTGAGCACCTCGGCTTGACATCAGCCAGCGATCTTCCAAAATCAGACCTTACAGGCAACGATGTATTGAGTTTCCAAAGTTAGTTAAAACCCATCTGGGTTTTATGGGAGATCCCACTGAATCACGATACTGATTTGCTGCGGCAGGCAGCTTTATGTACGGGTTGGTGGACACGCCAGCATTGCAGTACAGCGTAGAGGTGCAAAGCACTATTCGTATATTCTACAATCTAATGGTAAGTCATTAGTGGAGGCACTTCGGATGTAAGATGATCACGTTCCCTGGAATGAAGTTTTCGAATAGCATTGCCCTAATATCTTGCACATTCTTTGAACGTTCAGCATGCTCACAAGGAACAAGCACTATCCAACGTAATCATCGACTTACTGGGGGTTGCGCTTCAAGAAGTCTGGCTGGAAGTGAATAACTACTTGCCCATTTTGATAATTCCCCCTAATTTATCATTTTGCAATGACTAAATACAATTATTAATATCGGGTGATCAGCATCGAGTTGCAAATAAAGTTAGTACTGGCTGGAACTGCTTAGACATCTGAATCTTCAGCAAATGAAGGAAATCATGCGTTTCATCTGAAACAACAGGAAAGATAGCAAATTTCATTTCGAGATTGATAGGTGACGTGCAAATGAGAGTCGATGGCACATTATGCATCATTTGCAGCTCGATAAGTAATTAGAATTAAGAATATCGTAAGCGTTAGGGAATGCCAAAAATTTTCATCGACCTTGTTCCTCCGTACTGTAGTAAAAACCCCGGATTCAGCTCATTTGCTTGGGAAATTCAACTTTTCTGGCAAATCCAAGAAGATGACAGTATTTCCTGGAGACATAAGATGGAAAAAAACGTCTTTTTCGGTTTCATCGGAAATAGTCTACTTACGTTTATTCCGATTAGCAGATAGAGCACCTGATGTGCTAAACTGTACCCCGACATTTGTGTTGTTGTTGCGTTCTTCCAACACATTTCGGATAGCGTACATCGAGACTGGCTGAAAGGTGGAGAACGACGGAAATATTAGACACATTGCGTTCATACACAATGGAGCTTGAGCTTTTTATCTGCCATATAGCAAATCGACGAGTTAGTTCAGAACTACGTGGAATTCTTGCGTGGTTCAAAATCACAGTCCCTTCTTCCTGACCCGGGCAGCTAATCTAGTGAGGTTACTTCTTTCAAACTACCAGCTGGTTTTCACATTAAATAAGTTAGAGAAAGACAATCATTTTCTAAATTCAAGGGAGGTGTAATGTGAGAGCCTACTACACGGCTGAAATATAAGTGTTTCGGCGGCAGCCTGTGAACAACGGATGAAACCCCTAAAGGACAACATAAGCGATAACGTAGGTCCGCAAGCACGTGACAATGCACAGTTTACAATCTGATCTGCATCTGTGTTATGAGACATGATGATCAACATTGCCCTCGTACCATATCTGCTCCCTGCCCTATTGATTGTGTTTATATGATTAACCATTTTCAAACCGATGAAAGGGGATTGCAAGGTATTTTTGAGAAATAATCGTGGACATTTTCGAGAATATTCCTTTAACAAATCATCATTTCACGTTAAGAAATTGTACGTTACACCATTAAAACACAACTTAGTATGTCTCTTATATGCTCTTGACAATGGTGCCGTTTCAGAGTGTTATGTTATGTCGTCAAAAACGGTACTGTGTAAAATAACGTAGCTAAATACCTTTCCGACCTTGAGAATTACATCAACTGATCTGAATACTGTGTGGGCTCGGCTCCGATGTTTAGTTACATCTGCCAGCTTCACTGCTAGACTGGATCGGCGAAGCTCTAAAGGTATCTTATAACAAACATATAACCGATTGTGCTCAGAACTCAAATTCTCCTCTGTTGAAATGTGAACCAATGGTAGTACCACTCCTGCACTAAATACACGTTGGTGTGCAAAACGCTTAGCAGACAAACACTTTCTTGCAGTTTGCTCCACTGTTGTTGGAATGAAAACATTGAGTATTCCGTATTAAGCCTTTAAGTGATTTGATCACGGAAATTGTAAAAACGTTTGATCTGATATGAAAGTTTTCATGGCCAGACACTCATCCCTTCCGGGAGTTTGGCACCTGGCTTGCAAATGCTGCGTTAACATCCCAATGGGAGTCGCCACTGCGCAGGTGGGTGGGTAGTTTCCCTCTTATGATAGCGATGACTTAGCTTTTAAATTTTATTTTTAGGTTCTGACGTAACCTTCTGTTTGAAAGGCTTTTTACTCAGAGTATTTCCGGTGCATTTCCGGTTTGCAGCCTGCTGGATGCAGCTGTTTTATTTCTATTTGAAAGGTTCCACTCTTTAGTCTCTTTAGTTCCTATGCTTACCAAAATTCCTCCATATCTTTAGTGTTGGTTGCAAATTGTGTTTCAACCAGTCTGTTCCTTGAGTTTGAATTATTTTGATAGCGTCGGGTTTTGATTCTATTTCTTACACCGTAGAGTTGATGATCGCTTTGAGTTTGTTCGCAGATGCTGGTAGGTAATGCTGACCTAAGTGCGCAGGTTTGATGCTTTATCAGTGAAGAATCAGTTTTACATGAACTCGCATTCCGCTTTTGCTCATGCTTGTTCTAGTATGTGTAGGTTTTTTAGTTGGATTTGCGTCCTTCGTAATTTTTGCACTTGGGGACGACTGCAACTTAATCGTGTGTTCTGATGACATTGATTCATTGATTCTGCCTGAGAGTTCCCTCCTCGTTCTTTCCATGAGATTTTTGTAGCATCTGTTTCGTTCAACTTTTAGAACGCATCGGTTTTTTCTATTGAAAAGTGTTTACCTTTTGGTTTTAATTGTGAATTTTCTGGTCTTATTGTGGGTGTAAAGGTATATAATATAATTATAATA